TATAATATTTGAACCAAATTGAGGTTTAATCTCTCTGAGTTAAATTTAGTGATTATATTTGTCTTTTTTAAGTAATTATTTATTTTTGTTCGTCGCTTCGAATCAAAAACTTTAAACTAGATTTTCTAGCATTTTTTTTTCAAACTAACGAGTTCCCACAAACCTACCATGTATGTATGTATGTATGTACAAGTACCTATAAATAGAGATATCGTTTAAAAATTTTACAACCGCACTTCATAAAAATTTAGGTGTAATAACTCTAATGCCGCCTTGAAAGTGTTCCATATACGCAGAACTCTTTTTACTATCCACTATGCGAAATATTGTAATATGCAAAATATTAGTTTGCATGTGGCGTTTTGCATATAAAAATTTAATGTATCGAAAATTATGAGATGCATACACGAGCGCACAACAGTATGCTATAAAAATGAGGGACAAAGAACATTAAACTAAGATGTGTTTATCTACATAAGTACATACATACGTACATACATATAAACACTTGGGTATTTCTTAGCAAGCTTAGCGATGTGGGGGACACAATTCAAATGATTTAAGCAAAGCTTGCAATATACAGATAATTTGCTATTTACATACAAATTTTTGTCTATAAAAACATTAAGATAATAATCTCATAAACATACATAGATATGAGTATAATAAAAATTGATGGTTGATGGGTGAGAAGGGTCAACTTAAACCAATTTGTGAACTATTGCTGAATTGATGATGCATATATGTATGTACATATGTACGTATACGTACATGTATGATTCTGCATAAGGATTTATGAAATGTGCGAGTGAGTTCATGATGATCATAGATGGGGGTTAAATTTTGCGAAGAACCAAGGCCAATGTGCGCTTTACGAAGATTTAAATATGTATGTACGTACATATGTGTGCTATTCTTTTGTGAATTTTTTTTTTAATTTTTAAATTATGTAGGTATGTTATGCTAAAAAATTGTAAATATTTTCTAAATAAATAAAAAGAAATAGTAAAATAATTAAAATGAAGAAATATTTTTTTGTGAAAGGAAATGAAAGCGATTGAATTGGTATGGAAAATGGTCGGTGGCCAAAGCTTAATGTTTCCAGCGCTAATGCTTGAAACACAATGAAAACGACGGGTCAAGGGCCACAGCTTTGAGGAGAGGAAGAACCTTATCGGTCGCTCGAAAAATAGATAGAAATAGATCTAATCTCGCCACGAACACTGTTTAATGTAATTTGGCAGCTTTGGTCCGTCATTTTCATTGCGATTCTGCCATAAATTTTACCACTGTTTGGCATTATGAATATCTGAAAGGATGGCATTTGATTTTTCTGGCTGAACAATTTTTTTTGTTTGCGTTTTTTTTGTTTGCATTTTAAAGTATTCTATAACGTTTCTGGAGGGCTTTTTTAAAAATAAAAAACCAAAGATGCTTCGCTTGCACTGTTCGTTTGAGTATAGTAGTAGTTGTAGTTGTTGTTGTAAGTATTTACCTTAGCTTTAGCTCCTCATCAATATACTGTAAGAGGCTCCTACAAATAACACAAACAAAATGCAAGAAGAAAAATATAACATAAAGAGCATAAGATTGAGAATACTTCAAATACTATCAAAATACAAATATTTGTTGTATTAAAAATTAGATATACATAAATTCTAAAGAAAATATATTAAACGAAAAATAGGAGAAAAGTACAATTTTCTAACAAGGAGAGGGAAATTAAAACACAAAATAGGTAAAGATAATAAAAAAGTAAAAAAAGTTATAGAAAATATTCAAAGGTGAAAGAAAATAAAAGTGCAGGGCAGTTTTTATTACCAAAAACAAGGCTAAGAAAATTGATGTGTTGTTGCAAGAGATAAAAAATAAAAAATCGCATAGTAATTGTTTTTCCAATTTTACAGTCAAATCCGTCAAGAGTTTCAAAAAGTGAAACGAGCATTCAAAATTGAAAGAGCTGAATTTAACTTTTATGGGAAAGCGTGCTCAAATCTCGCTTCAATTCCTTGGTTTGAGAATATTTATAAAATCTGTAAAAATTTACAAATCAAATCGGGTGCATGCTGTGCAAACACAAGAAACAGGGCCACTTAGGGCGCGACTTCAATAATGCCAAAATAAAATTTGTGTTTATTCCAATAAAGTGGAATATTGAATTTCAATGCAAAAATAAATAATACAAATAAATGGAAATAAAAGTGTTTGTTTTTATTATTTTTCTACGCATTTATTTGAGAATGTGTAAGTGTTTGTGTTTGTGTTTCATCTTTATGACCAAATCATAGACAGCTGCCGAGCTGATGCCGAAAATGTGAGTAGAAAAAAGTACAAGGCGAGCATTTGCATACATACATGTGTATGTAGTAAAGTTCGCTACATCTGTGCCATTTGAGGTGTGTGGGTAAGTCTGTTTAGCAGCCATTGGATTCGAAGTGCTTTCGGCAGTTATTTAGGGTCACAGATTTTTAGACTAAAATAAACCTTAACAAAAAAATTTTAAATGTAAGCTTGGTAGCATTATTTTGATTTTTCAATAGTACAGTTTTTGTAGCTGGTTCACTTTTTTTTTAAACGAACCACTTGAAGTCTAATTTGAATTTCACTGTTTTGAAAAGCAACAAGAAAACAAGCTAATTAAATAACACTGCAGGGAGGCCAAATTAACACAAAAAGCACCGAGAACATAATTTTGTTTGCAGATCAGTATACCGTTTTTCTACATCAGGTAATTTTCCCAAGATATTTTCATTTTAGATTCGCATTGCGAAGGAAAAAAAATGCAAACTTTAACATCGAAAATGTTACTCATACGCCATGTACGACTATGTAAATCCAATATGATATGGCGTATGAGTAACATTATTTCCTGCTCTATTTCATACAAAAAATTTTTGCACTTTTTCGTTTGACCACTCACAGCTTGTTTATTTATCAATGGATTTTCATTGTTAGTAGCTTGATTTTTTTTGCTTTAAGTACATAAGAAGAAAAATTACAAAATATTTATTATTTTTTAATTTTTTCCTTGTTAGTTTGATTTTTTTTTTCATAAAAATGAACATTTCATGGGAAAATGACCGGTTCTGGAAAAACGCTATTCAGATCGATAATTAAGTTTACGTGTTTTGGCGTTTTTTGTGTCATTTCAAAACTTGAGTTTTTCGCTATAGTGTAATTTCTTTAAATTTTTTTCAAATTTGCAGTAGCTTTCTGCAAACTTTAGTGTAAGTAAGTGTGTCTTTTGCATGAAGCAAAAATCTTCAAAATCAATGTTGAAATAAATACAATCTCCCGTTCCATTTTGACTATATAATAAACTTTGCGTCGAAAAAAATTTTAATCAAAAAAATCCCCTGGACAATGATAACAAGAAAAAAATTATGATAATTTGCGTTGCCAGACCAAAATAAATAATACAATTTGAATTTAAAGCTAACTAAATATTTTCGTTTAATAAATTGAACTCCTATATTTTAATTAAAATTTTTCAACTGTAGAAATTTTTGCAAGGCATAAATTTCCATAACTTTTATTGAGCACAAATTGGCCGCAATTCATGAAATATTAAAGCAGCAAAACAATTTCGCACTATCAACGTATTAGATTTTTTTTTGCAATTCGTGCGCAAAAATACACAAATTTTAAGGTTTTTATCATAATTTACCAACGGAACGAATCGCAGATAAACGCGAAAAATAGCCAACCGAATTAGCAAATTGCATGAAGGGAAAACTTTTCAAAATTTAATTTAACAACTTGCCAACGTTTGGCGAGGAGCACTGCGAGTGCAAGCCGCGGGGCATACAGTGTTTATAATAATCACAGTGCATTAGGGCTAAACATGCAAAAACAGCATGCAAAAAATAACAACAACAAAATACATATAACAAAAGTATACAAAATTGAAAGTACTGCGAAAAAGCAAATGCGAAAGTAGGGAAAGTAAAAATTGAAAATAAGCAACGCAAACAACGCGAAAATCGCAGCAACTTGCAGGCATGCCACATTTTTTGCAGCTCGCTTTTTCCACACACTTATGTATGTATCTACTTAGCACACAAATGTGCGTATTGCAATGCTACACATACAGTCACATACATATATATGCATATAAAAAGGCTGCCGGCAGCAACAATCAATTTGCAAAACGGAAACATAACTTTGGCTGCGTGGCAGACGAGCGCAGCGAGAGGGAGCGAAAACGCATTTTTTTTCATATTTTGTTCTGCATTTTTCTTTTTTTTGCTGCTAAGTCAAAAAGCGCATGGCAGTGGAGGCATTTTGTGTTGCATATTGGCAGGCGTTTTGTCATCAATACACAAAGATTTCGGCGCGCCACAAATAAACAGGAAACAAATTATGTGCGAAAAATGCAGCAAGGAAATTAGAGCGAGAAAAATATCAGTAAAAATTTTGCTAGAAAAAGGCGGCACGAAGCGTAAAAAACGGCGCTTGGAAATTGCGAAATTACATAGCGAAAATTTTTTTAGGAAGTTTTTTATGCTGTCAAGCTTTTTTTTGTGTGTGCAGGCGAGCGCACTTTTTGTGTGTGTGTGTGTGAGTGTGTGTGCCAACCTTAAGGACATGTTCATAATCAATGTACCGCTAAGTTTTTGACGACGCGCTGCCGCTAAAGGACTAAGAAAAAAAGAGACGAAAAAATTGGAGGAGAAATTGAGTGGACAAAATAATTGCAATTAAATAATAATCAAGTAACTCGAAAGTAAATACTAAAAGGTATAAAAAAAAATTAAATGAAAAATGTTGTGAAGTACAGTTGAACTAAAAGTGAATGTAAAGTCGATGGCGTGGTTTTGGATTGTATGTGTATATGTGTGAATATGTGTATATATATTTGAATACTAAACCGAATTCGTGTGGATGTGTGTGCGTGTATGAAAATATTTTGCAATGTATCGCTGTGAGTGTAATAACTTTTTTCTCAAACGGTAATGATTGTTTGTGCCTGCTAAGAGTTAGGTTGCATGAAACTCATGGGAATAAATACATACATATGTACCTCAATATACATATATAAGGAGGAAATAATAAATAAATGAAGACAGCTAAAGCTAAGAAAAAAAAACATGTTTGTAGTATTATTGAGTTGTGTATGTTGCTAGTGTTTGGTTGCGTTCAATACACGACAGATAAAGCAATTAAGTATGCAGACAAACAGGAAATTGAAGTATACTATTAGGCGTTTCACAGAAATATTATATGTACATATACATAAAATGGGCATACACATGTATGTATGTAGATGAACATACGTCCACATACATATGCATACTCCTATATAAGCATAACAGAGAAAAGCCTATTGGTTTAGCAAATCCAAAGGTACATACTATATAGTAAATACATACGTACATGATATTTATACAAAAACATATACATACATGTCGCTTGGCAACGTTTCGGGACTAGATGAGCGATCGTTCCACTGTGAATTCGTCGTCATGCCTGCAATAAAAAAGTTCAAATTACTATGACATTGACATCAACAAAGTGTTAGATTAAGTTTCTTCGGTAGAAATCATCGTAAGACAGTTTTACCCATACGTTATTCGTAATATACGTAAATTTTACGTACTGCACCGTTTAGGTATATTATTTTAAATAAATGTTTAATAAGAACTTAATCGATTAATTATTCACTTGTCTATGCAACAATCAAATAAAGAAAGCACTGCCAAGTGCACACAGCGATAGGGCATAACATAGGGTAAACAGTACACGTAAAATTTACGTATATTACGAATGCAGGGTTAAATCAAAATTTCACTAAAAACCACTGAATCTGATTTTACAAGCAATAAAATAAAATAAACATCGTAAAAATAAATAGCTTTCAAAAGCCAAACGAAAATCGTGGGAAAAGAGATGTGCAACTTTAATTTGAAGTGAAAATGGAGCACAAAATTGTTGTGTCCCCATTTCCTTTGCGAAAAACACAGCACAGCGCAAGGCGATATACAACAAAAAAAAAAAAAACAAACATATCTATGCATATGTATACTGTATACTTATGCTAAAAAGCACTTTAATATAGTCGTAAGTACGTATATGTATATGAAGTTTGCGATTGAGGTTAGATTAGTGAAACACTTACCTGTTTTCAAAGTGTGATTTTGCGGTGAAATACCATTTGGCCTTGATGTCATTTTACTTGCTATTCGTTGTGGTACGCTGGCGACAGTCTATTTCGGCATTTTTGTTGGTTTATTTGGCATGGTTGTTGTTGGTGATGTTTTTGTTTTGGTTTGTTGATAATTATGGCCAACCACAAGAGGGGCGACAGCAACAGTCATTGGAGCATTATAAAATTCGCGTAACACAACATCAAAGGAGGATGGAAAAGAAAAAAATAAAGAAAAAGTAATTATATTTCCATACTACATACATACATATGTCTTTAAGAAAATAGACTGCTGCTAAAATGCACAAAGTACAAGTTTATCACTTAGATTAAAAAAGCACATTCGTTTTTTATTGGTTTGTGAAAACTAAAAACGACCAATAGGGTTTCGTTCGAAGAAAAAAATTTATATTTTTCCTATAATTTACCCTGAGAATTATATTAATGAAACAAGTAATTTTTAAGCAAAAAACAAAACCGAATTTATTTCTCATATAAAAATTTAAGATAATCCTTAATTTCTTCATGATCCAATGATCGGATCTAAATGAAATTAGTATGGGACCACCCGTGAAGTAACACATTTCCTTAAAAAAAAAAAAAAATTATAGAAATCATATGCGGTAACATATGTACATAACAAAAAAAAATAAAAAATAAAAATAAAAATAATTCCAACGAATTGATAACCTTCTCCTTTTTGTGAAGTGGGTTAAAAAAGACTGATGCACATACATATGACATATGTATGTACTTAACTATATGTTTTATAATGAGCAAAGATTGAATATAAAATATTTAGTATATGGACTATTCCAGCGAAGACGGCAGCTCAGATAAAAAAAATAAATTACATACATTGTGTTTAAATAGGTAAAAACAGTAAAGCATGTAGAATAATTATTTAGAAATAGATTTTATCGATTTATTTTTCATTATTTTCTCTATTTAGGTGTTATGAATGCAAATGAGCATCCGATTTGGGCGGTTCCGATAAAACATCGGACCAAATTTATAATACCATTTCATGTTCATAAAAGGTATAAAAAATTATGAAAAAAATCGTATGTTCGCGATCGATACGCTCGCGACCGGTACTGAAGCTTATAAACAAAAAACTAATAGATATATTTCAACGCGCAATTAGTAAGAAGAAATTTACTTTATTCCACTTTAATATAAAATTAAATCGCTTTCCATTTCGCAGTTTCTTACATTTTTTCAATTTGCAGCCAAAAATGACTTAGCGACCGCATGTTTGTTGCTAGCATATGGAAAAATAAAAATCGAAAGACCATTTCTTTTTGCACCAAAGATATATCTAGCAAAATGCTATCGAAACATAAAAAAAAAATGTTTAAAAATTTATATTTTCTTTGTTTTCTTTTTTGGACTTCAAACGTGTACGAACGTACGGTTTGCAACCGTTGGAAATGCCCATATATAATATACTGTAATATTTTTGCATGAAGTTTTCGAAGTGTCATGTACTAAATGTGACAATGAAAAAAAATATATATATCCAAAAAGAAAGAAAAATTCATGAACTTTAAAATGGTTCCAAGTTATTAAAAAAATACAGTTATGGTGAGAAGTTATAAGCGTCCAAAAAAAATTCATATTGGATGTCTAACCGTCACGTATGTACGAATTCTTAAGCTACCTATTGTTCAAATGTGGCCGCCTTATTAAAATATGTGACTCGTCCCACCCGCCATAAAATGCTGTCACACCCGTAACAAGCTAAAATAGTTTTTTTTTTTTTAATTCTGAAATATATGTAATAATGCCATTAATTAAACTGTATACCGTTTATCTAGATCAGGACATTTTCCCAAGATATTTACATTTTTATAAAAACAAAAATTCAAACTCTAACAAGGAAAAAATTGAGAAAATAGCAGATTTTTTGTAATTTTTTTCATGTGTATGATAGTATTAAAGCCTGTTCCTTTGCAAATAAAATCAAGCTATTGACGATGAAAATCGATGAATAAATGAATAAGATGTGAATAATGTTACTCATACGCCATATCGAACTTGGCCATACTGGTACATACTCGTAAATATAATAGCAATAATTAAAATTACATTTACAAGCAACTATCATCCACTTCATAGTGCCTTTTGATAAAATTTACAGCAATCTATTAGGCAAACAATAAAAGCTCTTAGAATGGAAAAGATAAATGTACATACATACATATAAATAGTACAAAAAAATTGTCCTATATAGAAAGAAATTGACTGTCTGTCTAAGGACTAAACATTCTAATACGATGGTATGGTATACGTACGTTCGTCGGCCAATGTACATTTAAAAATTATAATATTCCGAAAATTGCAAAAATTTTCCTCATCCGCCCATACACTATGCCAATTTGAAATCCTACGCATAAATGCCTGAATGATTTCACAAATACATATGTATGTAAAAGTGCTTCCAATGAAACTAACAAAAAAATATAGCTCTCGCTGTTAGTGGTTAAATTCAACCGAAATTTTGTAGCATTCAGCGAAGTGGAAGCATAGCTAAATTAATATTCATACATATGTAAGCCACCGCCATCACCAAAAACGCAACTATGCTCCTCAGCAGTTATTTTAAAATTTTAATTTACCGCCAACCCACTTCATGGCGACCATTTGCGAACCCACTCAGCGCTCTATACTCACACACACACGCATATATGTATGTAAATAAAACTAATTTTGTACGTGCACAAGTGTGTATGCTTTTATTCGGCTTCAACATCCAGATAAATCTAAAATGTTTACCTAACAATCAATAAATCTAATTGAGTGCAGGAACGACAAGCGTAAGGCGAGAATAATCTGTGAGAGAGCAAACCACTCTGTGTGTGTGTGTGTGTATGAAAATTCAAAAAAAAAAAACTACTTCACTACTATTGAAAATGGGAAGCAGATTTTGGCACAAATTTTTTTTACAAACAAAGTGCCATTTAGTGAAAGTGCGGCGCTGGCACCCGACCAGCGAAAAGTGTCCCACAAATAACCGTAATATTGGTTAAAAGTGCTCGAGGACTACGAAAAATTGTATACGACAAGCTCACTTGCTCACTTGTATGTGTTCGTAGGGAGTAACTATTGCCTGCTCGCCAAAAAAAAAAAAAATATTATCATCGACGAGGGCGCACAAAGGAATATCGATTCTAGAAAATCTAAGCAGAAAACATTCCACAAACCAAGTCGCATTTATCTTGTACAACTCACGCTATGCACTACACGCATCACTCACTTGTACACTTGTTTGTGCGCTGCCGACAAATACTAGATGCATAGTAGAGTTGATTGTACAAAACACGTTTGACTCTTTTTCGCCAAAAATTACCAAAGCAGTCGCAAGCTATTTCGAGTGTCAATCGCAAAAGTTCGATAGCGCCATAAATATTACTTGTTCGTCCAAATGAGCATTTGGGAATAAAGCGAGAATTTCCACACCACCCTGCATACATACCCGTATTTACCATATATGTATGTACATTAAACCGAACCACCCCCGCACCCCTGCGTCTAAAGTATTTTTGCAAGGCAATTTCGAAAATTTTCCTTTTATTTTTGGCCGAACCTATTTCACAATTATTTCACAATTATTTTTGGTACTTTTCTAGACATATGTACGATTCGGATGTGCACACTTTAGGGCCGGTTTATCCATCCTAGGTTAACACTAACTCCCTGGTTAAACATCGTTATCGACGTTCTGACTCCATGCATATAACAGGGAGTCGATACCGTCGGTAACTATGTTTAACGACGGATTAGTGTTAACCAGAGATAGAGAAACCGGCCCTTAGTGGGCAGCGGAACGAACGAAAATGGATGGAATATCCGGTTTTGTGCGGAATTCTTTCCATTTTCGGATACGTCTCCGAATATTTTGCTGACTGGGTATGTACATGGTTTTGCTATCAAATATTTTCCTTTCTTTTTGGAAACTGTGGAGCAATGCCACATTTACAAGTACGCAAACATTTCTCTAGCTCATAACTGCATTCACATGTCTATCTGGGTGAAGCTACATATATAAGTGTGTATGTAAGTATGTAGTGTGCATGTATACTTGACAGATTCTTATATACATCGTAACTTCACACAAACGAATAACGTAGCATACAAATTGACTTTCGTACTCACCTCCTCCTCGCCATCCAAATAGTAGTAGAATTGCTGATTTGGACTCAAGAACTTTTGCAGCAACTCCTTGGCCACACGCACCGACATCTCGCCCTGCACGAACGGATGCTTCAGCAGACACTCGGCGGTGGGACGCTTCTTGGGATTCTTCGTCAGCGCCGTCTTTACGAAATTGTGAAAGGTGGGACTCCATTTCTCCTTGTTGCTCAATGTGGGCGGTTTGAAACCACTTTTCGACATTAGGAACAACGCACGCATCGGATGCAAGTCGAACATTGGCGGTTGGAGTTCAGCAAGTTCTGGAAAAATGGAAAGTAAACGAAGAACGTCAATCAAAACTATAAACAATACGAATTATTAAGGAAGAGGATAGACCGACCAGTGGGTGAGGTGTTTATCGATTGCTTTCGTTAGAAAAAAATGTGTATAATTTTATTAAAACTTTGTGATTCTTAAAAACCTGCCACATTATACGGCCACGAGATTAGCGAATCGCTAGGGTAATCTACAATCTAAAGAAAAAATACTACCATTCCTACATAACACTAAGTAGTACTTTAGTTCGCAAACGCCATGCGTCTGCGTTGGCAAAAATTATCATAAAATTTCGCACAAATTTTATTGGCTGTGACAAACGTCAGGCGCAACCGCCATACAAATTAAGTAGAATTAATTGTTATAGAGCCTTGAAAGGCATACAATTTGCGACTTAAGATGGGGTACTAAGCAAATTAATGCTGCGTCACGATGAGGCCCCTTGAGCGCCTGCCTGCTTGTATGTGTGCATATGTATGTACACAACTTGCATAAATCGTAAGCACACAGTCACCTACACACTTACGCACGAACAAACGACCACCGTAAAAAGTGGCATTCAGCAGTGAGTGAGCGAGCGAGCGAGTTAGTCGGTTGGTGGTTTATTGAAATTATTGTTGTGGCGAGTGACCCCATTAAGAGTGCAATAACTTAGGTATCAACTCCAGCCGGGCACCACAACAAGAAAAACAAACATCTGATAGAGGCATTCCTTGGGTATTCAAAGATATTTATGACCCGAACAATTGCTACTACGCCCCATTCGAAGTACGGTTGGTTATTAGGTTTTTGCAGAACTAACTGGACTTTTGTATTTACGCCAAACGTGCCATGTCAAATGATATATATACATAAGTGAACTTACCAATTGCCGTTATGCCCACCGCCCATATATCACATAATTGATTGTAGCCACCTTTGCGCTCCACAGCGGCCACCTCGGGTGCCATCCAATATGGTGTACCTGCGACAAGAGAGAAGGA